AAAATTGTAAAAATTTTCCTCCACCAGAGCTCTGGCGACCAATTGTTGAATTTTTCAAAAAATCTGTTGTTAACTGATATAATAAAGTTGTTAATAGCATTACAAAAGTTGTTAACGATTATATTGAAGTTGTAAAATTTTTCAAAAAAATTGTTTCCGGTCATCGGAGTTTGTTAAATTTCCTAGAAAACCTGTTGTTAATTGCTATACTGAAGTTGTTAATAAGGTTATAAAAGTTGTTAACTGTTATACTGAAATTGTATAAATTTTCAAAAAAATTTATTTTCCTGGGATTTTTCAAATTTAACATACTATTTGGGGATTATGAAGTTTAAGTAGCATTTTTTTTGTCTTTTTCCCTTATTTTTTCTTCATTTTTTTTTTTAAAAAATAAAAGCTGTTACCCTACGAAGTCCAAAGAACCAGTATGTTTCTCAACGGAAGTCTCATTTAGATACCTTCTTTGCTTGCTGTCTAGGGTTTTGGCAAATTTGCTGTATCTTCTTCTCCTGTGCCTCCCTCATTTGCATCCTTCATTGCAACCCACGAGTGAAGCTCAATGAGCAACGACAAGGATAATCTCAATATGCAGGATCTTAGCTCTGGTGACATACCATCTCTTATCTGTTCAAATCCGCTTTCCCTTGAAATCTTTTGCATTTCATCTTCTTTTCTCGCTGGAATTTATCCTGCTTCTCATCTTGTTTATTTTTCCGTGAAGCTCTTAATGAGGATGATCGAACAGACCTCGTCAATGCTCTCAAGGTCTGTATACTCCTTATCAGTTACTTATAGTGTTTGATATTTGCTTTGTTTGAGTTGTTTACTTTAAGGGAAACTGCTGGAGGGGAAAATTTCTCTTTTTTAGTTCCCTCGGAAACTTAAGCTTATTTTACTCTATTCTTATAATTTTTTCCTAACCAGTGCTGTGTGTCGTTGTCCATTGAATTTTGTATTCCCTTTTCATGAACTGTAGATTGTGGTTCATTGCCAATAATCACGGGGAATTAGGGTATTAACGTCAAGTTCCTTTTTTGCGTTGGTTTGATTTTCACTGATTTGGAAATTCTCTTCTGCAGAATAAGATGCAGAGTTTGGCTGGTCAGCACGCAGACGTTCTAGAGAGTCTATCGCCCAATGTCCGGAAGCGTGTTGAGTTTCTCAGAGGGATTCAGGCATGTCCTTGTTTTCGGAATAAGCGCAACAAATTATAATGCTAATTTACAGGGGTTTAATTTTCTTCCGCATGTTTGTTAACTGCTCCTCTGTTGGAAATATACGATCTTTCACTTAGATTTAGAGATGCTTTGCAATATAAGGTGTAAATTATTTTGTTGCTTGCCGATATAATATGGTAAATTTTTATTTTTATTTTCATCTTAAGCAAGGTTGTGATATGCTGCATACGCTAAAAATTTGGACGAAGGTAAAGGTGGGTCAATAGCTTGATTCTAAACACTGTTGGATGTAAGCTGCTTAAATATTTATGGAGTTCGATTGAGTAATGAAGCTGAAGTTGACTTATGAACTGACCCAGGAATTTTGGTGTCCTTGCACTTTTTATGACCTCAGAAATCTGACTTTCAACTCAGAAGCGTTTGGGCATAACTGTGATTGCATATCATTCATCTTGGAGAGTTGAAATTGGATCATAATTCGTGTTCGTTGATAATGTATCTGTTCAGATGGAGATGGCAATTTCTGTGTATTCCATGAAATCTCACAATGAAATTTCTTCCTCTTGCAGAGTCAACACGATGAATTAGAGGCAAAGTATTTTGAGGAGAGGGCAGCTCTAGAAGCAAAATACCAAAAATTGTATCAACCTTTGTATACAAAGGTATTTTCAGTATTCTATACTTGTAAATATTGAAGATGATGAATTATGGTTGACATAAATGAATATTGCTCTTCCGTAATACTAAGGCTGTATAGTTAAAAATTGCGGATTTCTTATTTCAATTTTAATGTTTGTGTCCATTCTTTATTTATTATAACTCCTAATTTTGGGACATTTGATTTTTGTTATCTGCCACTATAACATTTAACGTACGAATACAGCGCTATGACATTGTAAATGGTGTTACGGAAGTTGAAGGAGTTGCAGATGAAGCAGCAGCTAATACAGAAGAGGAGAAAGGTACCATACATAATGCCTACTCTATTCTTTGAAAAGGGTTTCAGTTTTTTGATTTACTTGTGTGCGTATGTAGAGAAAGGTGTACCTGCTTTCTGGCTCACTGCAATGAAAAATAATGAAGTGTTAGCTGAGGAGGTTTGTCAATTGAGTTTAATCTTTACAATCTATTCAATTCTGAGTTTCATAGTCTTGGTACTAGCATAGTTAACTTATATATATGTGTGTATATATATACATATATCTCAGATTTCTGAGCGAGATGAAGGTGCTCTCAAGTTTCTTAAAGACATTAAGTGGAGCCGGAATGAAAACCCTAAAGGATTTAAGCTCGAGTTTTTCTTTGATACCAATCCTTATTTTAAGAATTCTGTCTTGACCAAAACTTATCACATGATTGATGAGGATGAACCTATACTGGAGAAAGCAATTGGGTATGTTCTTTCTTTGTTGATTCACTCCCTACATCTAGTCCCCGGTGCACAGTCACATTACTAAGGCTGGTTTATTGCATTTTTCTTGTAGGACGGAAATTGAATGGTATCCAGGAAAGTGCTTGACGCAGAAGCTGCTTAAGAAAAAGCCTAAGAAGGGTGCCAAGAATGCTAAACCAATCACCAAAACTGAAAATTGTGAAAGTTTCTTTAATTTTTTCAATCCACCACAAGTTCCTGAAGATGATGAAGATATTGACGAAGATATGGTATGTTTCCTTGTACATGATCTACGGGCTAGTGATTTTGAATATTTTTCTTTCTCTTATGTCAGTCATTTTCTTTTTGAATAGGCTGAAGAACTTCAGAACCAGATGGAACAAGATTATGACATTGGGTAAGCTTAATCACGTTTAGTAATGTAATCTTTCAACCAACTGTTGACTCTGGATTTCACCTTTTCGGTATTTCATATTTCATCTTCATAATTTTGTGTGATTTCTGAGTCACCTTTATTTCTCTGTTCAGGTCAACAATAAGAGACAAGATTATCCCCCATGCTGTTTCGTGGTTTACTGGGGAGGCCATTCAAGGAGAGGAGTTTGGAGACATAGAGGATGATGAGGATGATGATGAAGACACTGAGGAGGAGGATGATGAAGAGGAGGAGGATGAAGATGAGGATGAGGATGAGGATGAGGAAGAGCAAAAGAGTAAAAAGAAGGTAATTTGTGCAGATCGTTCCCTTTGTATTTTGAAATCACTTTGTTTTTATTTACTGTTTGAATAGGAACTGATGATTATTTTCTTTCACCCTTTCCGGTGTCAAATTTTGTTTGGAATGCTGCCTGCAGTCATCAGCACACAAGGTAAAGAATCGTGATATGCAAATGAGATGATATTAAGCACAGACAAAAAATCTACCACAGAAAGTTTTATCAACTCCTGTTCTCTACTATGCGGCCCCAGTACTTAACAAAGCCAATTATGCCAAATACATGTCCAACACAAATTAGACATGGCATTTGGAATTGAATTTGTTCATAATATGCTCTGTGGTGTTGTTTGTTGTATTAATATCGCTATCTCAGTTTAATAGGTTCTTTGGTTTTATGGAGTTTGCTCTAATTCAAATTTATTTTTCTGTATCTTCAGAAGAGTGGAAGAGCGCAGGTAGGTGGTCAGACGGGTGAGCAACCTCCAGAGTGCAAGCAGCAGTAGCGGAGGTTGTTTTGTTGAGTTTGTAGCTGTGTTTAGGTGCCTGAATGAATGCTGCTGGGTCAAAAAATGGGTGCAAGTGAAGCAGTTTTTGATGGTTATTTATTCATTCTTCTCTCTTAATCTTATATGATCTGAGTGGTTTTGAGAGTTGCCTTCTTTTTCCCCAATCTCTCTGCAGAGAATGTGGCTAGATATAGTTAGGGATGTTGTGATTTCTCAATGCTTGAATTTGTATCTCAGACACTTCGGTTAATTATATATATTGTGACTTTTAGTCTTTACAGCTCCAAATTGTGTCTGCCGGCATATATTTTCTTTCCCAGGATTTCAAATTTCAAACTCCTCAGGACAAGTTGCTGCTGTTTTTTAAGGGGTGTTTGGGCAAAGACAAAATCATAGTTTTAATAGAACTTTTACGATATACGAAGTAAATATATAGAGGGGTTTATTTTGATTTGTGAAAAAGTATATTTGAAAAGTATTTTTGGAGTTACCCGAACACTTTCTTAGTATATTTAGATCAGCGATAAAAGATCTTGTTTTTTTTATTCACATTCTCTCTACTATCCATACCCATCGGTAGATAAAATTCCTAATAAAATATCAAATTATTAAAAACAACTTAATTCACAGCTGCTAGATTTTCGTCATCACAATTTAAAACTATAATAAGCATATTGGAAACATAATTTTAAAAGACATTAAAATAAAAGAAGAATGCAAGAGACACAGATGGGATGAATTCTACTTGCCAAAAAAATTTCCGACAACGACGCTTCCAACGATGGTGGACTCTTCCAAGGCCACTGCAAGTATCAAGGGTTGTCCACTGAATATTTTAATTAGATGCATTTCTCATTATATTAAAAAGATAATTTTTTTTGCCCGCATATAAGGAGTTTAAACAAGCTACATTATTGTTGGCAAAAAATAAATTAAAAAAAAATTGAGTTACATTATTCATTACATTTTTGAGTGTACAAGGCAAAATTTTCGTCTCATATTTATCTAGTATAAAATTAATTTGACATTAAATTTATTTACTCTATTTTTTTCATGGAGAATGGCGACCTCTTACCGGCGACACAACTATTCAAAATGGAGGGAAAAGTAGATTAATTAAACCCCCAAAAACCCTAAAAAAACGCGGCAGTGGTCTTGTCTGAGAGACTGACGCTTCACGGTTCACGGTTCAAGTTTGTGCTTGTCCATGAGTGAAACTCTTGCTTCTTTTGCTCATAACATTGTTTAATGTTCGAGAAAGTTTCTGTCCTTTTGGTCATATTGTGAGGTTGGGAGGTCAGAATCTGCGGGGTGCTACTATGTCCAGGCTGCTTCGTAAAACTTACCTTCTCAGGAGCTCTCTTTTCGGCCATGACGTTACTACAATGGTACGGCTCTATTTGTTTGAATATTCTTGTTTTGCAACCTGTACATTATTAGTATGCATGGCAATCGACTCTATTTTAATCGACATTCCTTTTTGGCTGTATTCTGTTGCACGAGAAATGTTCCACTGTCCCCTCCTTCCCCTCCTTGTTTCTATACCTTCTCTCTTGAGTTGAGGGATTCTGTTACAGCTCGGTCATCTATTTGTTGTCTACCCCGGGCCCCCATTTAAGGAAGGGTTTGTTTGAACTGTTAGTCGTGAAAATCTGATAAAGTACCGGCATAAGCTTTTTCCTTAATCGCCTTTCTCAGGAATATATGTCTTTATGTTTTTCAAGGAAAAATATTATGGCCATTTGGGTTTGGTATGTGGTCAATTATATACTTATAATTGTTTACCCTTTTTCCAGGGCTTTAGACATGGATTATTGGCCACAGCGCAAATTTTAAGCTTCTCAACTCGAGGTTGTTGAAGAATGCATTTTTCTACCCTCCCCTGTATCCTTAGCTGATGATAAGAGGCTTAATTTATTTTGCACCATTAATTACGCCAAAGGGATCGCCATAAGTCTTTGAAATTCGTTGTCTCATTATTCCCTTTAAGGTTCACTGATCTTATCATGACGATGATGATGATAGCTCTTATTTCGGTCTACTTGAAGGTAAAAGGGGGTCAAAACCAGATGGAAGTGATTCATGCGAAGAAAATATGTCTAAGAAAGAGTTAGCCCTACAACAAGCTCTGGATCAGATCACTTCTGCACATGGAAAGGGATCTATCATGTGGCTTGGTCGCTCTGTCTCTGAAAAGCATGTACCTGTAGATGTAGTGTCAACTGGTTCTTTTGCGCTTGATATGGCACTAGGAGTTGGTGGACTTCCAAAGGTATCTTTAGATCCTTGCTTAAAGAAGTTTCTTTCTCTTCGTTGGATATGAATAGACTTTAAAAATCCTAGTGGCTGCTAGTTGTATATGATTGTCATCACTAACAAATCTTGATAATTGACAATTTGGCTTTTATAGTTTGCTACGAGTAAAAAGTTGTTTGGGAAATGAAACAGTGTGCGATTCAGTTTTCACAGACAAAATTGGCTTTTGTATATTGGAAGGGACGAGAGAGCCAATATTATTCTGCAGTGTGCAATACATGTACGCTGATTAATATGCTTCAGTGTGATATTTGTAGGGACGTGTTGTGGAAATATATGGTCCGGAGGCTTCTGGGAAAACTACTCTTGCCTTGCATGTGATTGCAGAAGCGCAGAAGCAAGGAGGTTATCTTTATATGTTACTTCTGCAATCATTATTATACTATTTATCGCGTTATATGCTTTGTTGGGACTATTATTTCTGTAGATATGATGACCTTTTAAAATTGCTTTTAACCTTCTCACTTCCCTTTCTCTGGATATTTGCCTGAGGTATTACTTAGGATGGACACAGTCGTTTGTTTGACTAATAAATTTATGCGTAAATCATTTTCATGAAATACTCATTTGACCAACATTATTGATGGCGTTGAATTGTTGGTCAAAACCTTATCTCATTTAATTTATTCTATGCTTTAACATGCTATGCCAACAGTTTATTGGTGCTTGCAGAATTCCATTTGCCCAAAAGAGGGGCACACTGTTATTGTTACCTTATTTTGTAAATTTTACGTGATAAGTATTTTTAGGAAACTTTGAATTATCTAGACTTATTTTCCTGTTCTTTTAATGATGAAGAGGGGAGGTCTGCAATTTCAGCCAGTTTGATCAACATGCCAGAGTATCTCTATAAGTATTTTGTACTTGTTTGTTTTATGTAGGCTATTGTGCTTTTATTGATGCTGAGCATTCACTTGATAAAACACTCGCGGAGTCTATTGGTGTTAATACTCAGAACTTGCTTGTCTCTCAACCTGATTGTGGTGAACAAGCACTTAGTCTTGTTGATACCTTAACTCGAAGTGATTCAATTGATGTAATTGTTGTTGATAGTGTAAGTATGGAGATTTATTTTTTAATTTTTGTTTTCTCCACTCTTTCTGGTTGGTCTTTGACTTTTGTGGGTACTTATACTTACTGCTATGCTATTGAGTGTCATTTATGCTTTCTGCAATATACTCTTCTCTAATTTGTGGTTTTTATGAGTATCATTGCTTGCATGTCTCTGCTATTATCTGTATCGCACTCCAATATAGTGTAAAACCACTTACCATGAGAATGATGCGTGTGATGGTGATAGTGTTGTGGAAGCAATGAGTTGTTTTAAGAATTGCAATAGGACTGAATTTAATTTAATTTTATTGTAAATATTGCTGTTTCTAATAATTTGAATCTTCGTTACTGCCTACTAAAGTTTTTTTTAATGGAGTTATGTGCTTACTGCCCGTGTTGTTTCAGTTTTTCCCCCTCTTCTCTCTATTTCTCGTACCCTTTTAACTTGAACATGATCGACATTATCTTAAATTGTTTTTCATTGAACGGAAGATTTTATAGTTCTTGGATATATGTGTGGTAACGTTTTGCTTTGTGTCCAATGATAGGTAGCTGCTCTTGTTCCTAAAGGCGAGCTTGAAGGTGAGATGGGTGATGCTCACATGGCAATGCAGGCTAGGTTGATGAGCCAGGCACTTCGAAAATTGTGTCACTCTTTATCAATGTCCCATTGTATATTGATTTTTATAAACCAGGTACCAGCAGAGAATATATGGTATCTTTAAAAGCCTTCTGTTTGGACAAAACTTAAATGATCCTACTCTCTTCTTCTTCTTCCATTTTTTATATGTTATCTTTAAGAGCCTTCTGTTTGGACATGGATGATGTTCTCTTTTCCAAATTTCTTTATATGGGAAAGTATTGTTGGTATTCTCTAGGTAAGATCATAAGATGTGTGCTCTGGAATATACTTTGGGCGGTCTGGGTTTGTTCAAATTAATTGAGAGATGCTTTTATAATGATTCAATCGTAAATGATTCTTGTATGCTTCTGCAGGTGAGGTCAAAGCTTTCTACTTTTGGGGGTTTTGGTGGGCCATCAGATGTTACTTGTGGTGGTAATGCATTGAAATTCTATGCTTCAGTGCGGCTAAATATCAAACGAATAGCATATGTTAAGAAGGCAGAAGAGGTACCAAGAATGTGCTTTTTGACCCTGCCTTTTTGCCTCTTGCTATATTGTTTAGTTTGCCATTTCAAATGCTAGTGTTAAATAAGCATGAAATAGATAACTAAGGGTTAGCCGAAATTGAAACTATAAGCTGCTTCTTCTAGTTACAATTTAGTGGGAAAAATGAGCGATGTCATGTTTTTGAACTTAACAGCATCATCTCCAGCTAGTCATATTTATAGGCATCAGAGAAGTAGAGAACTATATCTTGAATAGATTTACTGCTAATTTCTCGATTGATTTTATCCTCATCCAACAGATTCAACTTTGTTCCGGGCTCCATGCCCTCTTTTATAGTTCTTCTCAAATTTTAAGTCTAAACTTTCCCTCTCTCCCAAAACTCTTTTATAAATTTGATCCTATCAGATTTTAAGAATCCAGTGCAGCACATGGGTCAGAATTCCAGTTGCTAGTATATACTCCCTCCAGTTCAAAATATAAGCATCAAATAACTAATTCACACAATTCAAAAAGTTAGTTAAAAATAAACATGTAAAACAATGCAACCTATTTTTCCTAAACACCCTTATTTATGGAGAGAAGTAAGCAGGAAGGAGAATGAGTGGAAAAAAGAGATGAGACATATAATTAATTATGGGTAAAAATAGAAAAAATATATTAAATGATCAGACAAATCAAAAGTGATGCACATAAAAAACCAAACTCCTTCAAAGATTTGATGCTTATATTTTGAGAGTATGAAACATCATTTTGGTATTTTTAACATTTAAGCATCTGTGCCTTTTGATGGATATTGGAGTCATCTTAATCTTGTTGAACCTAATGGCTCTCGCTGGTTAACTTAAATATCATAAGATCAATATTTTTAGAGCATGATATTTTTCATATGATTCTGGCTTTCCTCCTTCATTGTGTTTACCCTGCATGTCGTGCAGACTCTAGGAAGCCAGGTCCTTGTCAAGGTTGTGAAGAACAAGCTTGCTCCTCCATTTAAAACTGCACAGTTTGAGCTTGAGTTTGGCAAGGGTATATGTAGAGAAGCAGAGGTCTTAGATTTGAGCCTAAAACATAAATTCATCTCTAAGTCTGGTTCATTTTACAACTACAATGGCCAGAACTTCCATGGCAAGGATGCTCTTAAGAAGTTCCTGGCTAGCAACCCTAGTGCTCAAGAAGGACTTATTCTGAAGCTGAGGGAGAAGCTTCTTACAGCGGTGACAGATGGAGATGTTACAGAAGTTGTATCACCTTACTCTACTGATGAAGAAGCTGCTGCTGCTGCAGAAGCATGATTTTGCTGATACTCCCAAAGCATGCTTCACTTTATCTTTCCTTGCTTGGAGGCAGCCTTAAGCAACAAAATCCTCAAATGCTTGTGGTTCCGAATCATATGGCTCTTTTATCAATTAGTCCTCTCGGTTGCTTGATTGCTCACGTGAGGAAAGAGATAGAAATAGATGTGGGGTCCACCTGTCGTTGTGGGCCTCATGCGGATTCTATTCCATGCCTGTCTTCTTTCTTAAGCAATTAAGGGGATCCAAATCCATTTACTGTACGCTGTCGCCATTAATGGAATCATTGGGTCATTGGTTCATGTGCAGATTTTGTATGGAGGAAAGGAAGTGTCAATTGATATATGTTTGCAATGCATGTAGTTAATCATTGAGCCATTGCCTATTATGTGTAAGCATATAACTCTTCATGTATAACATTTCTGGTGTCGTCTTTTTCTTCCTCACTCCTGTTAATTTGCCCTTATTTCCCTGTAGTGAAGCCTGCAGCGTAGAGAGTGGATTTTATTTTGGGAAAATTGCAATTAGGTCTCAACTAAGAGAATACAAAAAGGTTTTTTAAAATCGTGAAATTATTCTGAAGTCTCAAGGGATTTTTTCAATAAATTTTATTTGTTTAATTATCAAATTACCTTTTTTTTAAAAAAATTTTTGTATTGATAACTGAAGGAGCAGTAGTTGACAATTTAGGATGTATGGACTGACAACTATCGTGGCTGATTTGACAACTTAAGGTGTGATATGTTGAGAAAATGTGTTATCAAACCAGTCGTGATAGTTGTCAATTCTTGTACCATAAGTTGTCAACTACTACTCTTTCAGTTGTCAATGCAAACTTTTAAAAAAGAGAGGATAATTTGATAATTAAATAAATAAAATTTATTGCAAAAAAATTCTTTGGGACTTCAGAATAATTTTATGATTTGAAGGGATTTTTTTGTATTAATTCCTTTAGGTGGGACTTAATTGTAATTCTTCCTTTTATTTTCTCCCCTTGGGATTAATCAGTGGTAAAATATATGTACAGGGACTTTTTTTTTTTAAAAAAATTTGTTTTAATTATTTGTTTTTCTGGTTGGAAAGTTTTATTATAACAAGTTTTAACCTTGCTGGAAAATTGGGAAGTTAAATTAAACCACGTAATTAGACCAAATAACCAGTCAACGCTTGCAGAAATATCCTAGTTATTTACTGAGGCAGCTATCAGCACCTAACATCAACTGGTTTGATTAAACTGGTTGTTTAGGGTTTGTCTATAAAAACAGTCCCTTAATAAGTGCAGCTGCCCCATCCCTGATGACAACCATGATTATCCATTGTGCACTGTGATGTCTTTTTTTTTTCAAAAACCAAAACCCAGTGCTGGTGCCATAGACAGTGGCTGAGTCAGGATTTAAGTACAAGGGGAACTCATATTCAAATATAGGAAAAGTTATTTATATTCATTATGTTACAGGGAACTTGACAAAATAAATATAAGAAAGTTGACATACGTTTTGTCCTAAAATGTACACACACAATACAAAGTTTTTAGATTTCTCCAAATATCTTTTGGCAAAATCATAGTCATAGTATTTAAACTCAACTTGACGGTCAGATAAGTAAATCAGGCTATTAGATGGTCTAGTGAAGAGTTTTGAACAAGCTGATCAGGTCGGATTTTACTTTTTCCTCCTCTGACTGAGCATGAGTTGTCGTTGAATTGAAAAAAGACAAAGAAAGATAATATTCATTAATGATGTAGTAACTCTGTTTTATTAGGTTAAATGCGATTTACACGTAAATACTCTGTTCATTTTGAATTAATTTCCTTATATATTTAAATTATATTATTTTAATAGTAATTAAACTCACCTTATTTCAGCCATGATTAGATTACTCACCTTCAAATCATCACTATTTCAACATGTTGAATGACCAATCCAATGCCTGGTCTTTTTCCCCTCGTTTGTTAGCTGATTGCTTTGAATCTCTCTCTCTGTCTCTCTATATGTACATATATATGTGTGTGTGTGTAGAAATAATAAATCAGTTGAAAGGAATGTAAAGAATCATAAATGTGATGGGTTTGGACATTGGAGGAGCGCAGTCAAAAGCGCCGTCTGAAAAGTTTGAGTTTAGAAATTTCCACAGAAGAAAATTCATTGACTAACAATAAAGCAGTCTCCATCACTCCCTCACTCACTGTACCTACGTGAACACGAATGAATCTCTGGGGCCCACAATATATGACGTGGAATTTAATGAGAGCCACTCCCATATATGGCTTGTTTAATGACCTCTCTAATCTTAATAAGTTTTAAAATTATAACACAGTTTTGACCATCTTTCAGTTTTTTGAATCCTCTCTTATTTTATTATTATTGTTCTCTTCCTGTCTAAAGTAGCAGTCAAAACTCAAAACAGGTAACGTGACGCCTTTAATTATTTATATCACAGTCTCCTGTATTATTATTATTATTATTAGTTGAAAAAATTATACTATTATCATGTCCCAATAAAATAAAATCTTTGCTAAAAAAAATTATAGTCAAGTTTTTTTTTTTTTCATTTTTCTCACATTTGAAACTTATCGTTACATGCCTTTTTTTAGGATTTTATGATGACTTTTTCTTATTATGCTAAATCTTTCAAATTGGATAAAAATTTAGGGGAGAAAAACCAACACCATTTAATACTATCTCTGATCTTAATTATAAAATTTTATTTATAGTTTATAAATAAGATCTTATAACTAAGACCGGGATAATATATAAGCATGAAACTAAAATAAGGTATGATGCGTCCGTTCAAATTTTTTAAAAAATTAACTATTTAATTAAATATGAAATTAATACAACATCTGATTCCCAAAAAGAGTGGTGGGTCCCTGGGTCCCATCCACTTGAGTCAAAGCAGTGCCTCCAGGCATCCAGAGTACATAATGAAATGCTAGGCATGCACACACATGAGATAATATGTATATAATATAAAATAAATACATGGGTGTATTTGGTTGGGGGCGCAAGTAAAAATTTGTGGAATAAATTATAGACGACGGCTGATGACGTGGGCTAGGGTTATTGGTCCAGGTGTCAGTCACTGTGCCAGGTCAGCAGCCACTCTCCTCACAGCTTCCCGGAAGGCAGCCTCGTCCCATTCACTCCCCTGCACGCATAAAAGAGGACTCACTTGACATCATTATTCTCCACAAAAAAAGTTGCTACTTTTGGCCTTTCGCATTCCCCTGTATAAGCGTATATGCATACTGCTTTTTCCTTTGATAAGACAAAGGAAGGTGTTGGATGGCTTAAATTCCAACGCCACATTATTATCACTCTTAAATATTTAGATTGTTCTAATCAAATTTGGACAGCAAGTGTGTACTGTATACATATTTTTATATTATTTCTGGTCCTAATTATAAGATTCAGTTGACTAATTTGAGGAGATTAAAGAAGTAAGTTAAGTTAGTTATTTGTCCTAAATAGATATTGTCTTTCCTAAAATATCATTGCTAATCAAGTGTATTAACTAGAACTCTTATTATTAGAAGGACTACTTTGGAAAAAAATGTATAAATATAAGAGACAAAATGGATTGAAATCTTATATTTAGGACTAAAATAAAAATCAAATAGGATCTTATATTAAGGACCGGAGGTAGTACTATAATTTCAAGAAATTTAACATATTGATATTTAATCTGAATAATTCATATCAAATATAAATCATAAAATGCAAAAAAATAATAAAAAGAAAACATTTATAAGTTCTGCTAACTCCGGTCATAATTATAAGATCTTGTTTGTAGATAAAGTCTTATAATTAAGACCGGAGATAGTATATAGCAACTACATGTATTGTTCATATTGAAAATGAAAAACCACAATCAACGTAGGACAATAATTGAAATGTAAACCTACATTTAGTTTTTAAAATCTAAAAACAAAAAAAAAGTGTACTTAATTATAAGTATAACCACAAATAGTGTAAATAACATAATATTTATGAATAACATGGATAAGGAGTTGAATAATAAGATATTGAACATTTTTTAAGCAAAATTTGACCTGAGTTAAAAATCTAAATCACTTAATATATAACATATTTTTTTTTTTTAAAAAAGTAATATTTAAGGCCCTTTTGGTTATTTAAAAAAAAACTACAAGTCCTAGCATCATTCTCATGGAAGTAATTAAGAAAGCCTCTTAGTCCTAGTCATTCTCATGTCACATGTCAAAATCTGTAAGAAATCATTTTAATGATGCAAATAAATTACACATAAACAAAGTGGTTGTTATTCTTATTTGACGGCTGAGAAAAATAGAATCCTCTTTTTGAATGTTTGAATAATTTTGCGTTTTACATCTCATCAGCTTGATTGTGACTCTTCATGCCCACCTAACCAAAACAAAACCAAACTAACATTTTTGCACTTTCTTACCTCCTTCCTAAATTTTACTATGCCCTATACATATTATTTATATATCTATATACTATTATTGCAATCACTTCATCCTTTAGTTGTACCAATCAAAAGTGAATTCTAGGATCCAACAAAAAGCATACGTGACTAATATTAAGCTAGACTATTCTAAATCTAATAGCCTATATTTTTAGTATTCTAGAAACATGGCGACTATGTATCATATCAATTTGCCTTTAGGGTCCTGGCTAGTTCTGACAACTTGGTTTTTGAAATAAATGTATGATAATACTAATGAAGGGTCTAGTTGTGTAATTTATTATCATTATCATGTTATTTTTTATATATATTTATCTAAGACATGACACTCGTCTGATCCTAAATATAAGATCCATTTTATAGTGTAAATTACATTACAAAACGGGTTTTTATATATTTAGAACTGGAGGAGTACTATCGTGGGAAATATACTCACATACACACACATATTCAAACATTATCGGATAGATAGTAATGTATTTGAGAAAATATCATTTACGAATGAATGAGGGAAAAAACTCATTATATATATATATTTTTTAAAAAAGATCTTTTAATAAATCATAAAATTGTGAACCATGTATTATGAAAAAGGGTAGTTGTTAAAAATTATATTGACAATTTCTAAATGTGAGCCAAACATGAACAAGTCTTAGAAACTAGGTCAATTATCAAGTACACGATCAACTAGCATCTAATAAAAACTAATTAATGACAAGACACTGAATTAAATATGTTGGCAACTCTCCTTATCTAAACTATTAATTATTTTACTAATTTTAATCAAATTGCATTATTGATAAACTAATATACTAACTAGTTGAGCTAAGGTGTTATATGTACTGAGAAATAATTCCCATTAACGGAACGTTTACGACGAATTTTAATTTATATTTTATATTAGTATTAATTAATTAATTTATTTTACCATTTTTCTGGTATAATTTCATGAAGTTTTCACGTGGAAAGGAGCATACCTCAACCCTCAGTCTAACGGTGA